TCGAATTCCTACCTGAAGAAACACAAGAGGTTTTCATTCCTTTGGCAATCAAAGGAATGAATACTGTCCTTGGGCTGGACGGTAGAGCGACGGTCTCGCTTCATGCAGGTCGGCGTTCAATCCCCGACTGCTCAAGTGGCTGGGCACCGTCCCATCCCAAATGCTGCCTCCTTACACTTCTGCGTGATGTAGTCCATTATCTCTTGGGCCGTCTTTCCTCGGAGCTCTGTTTCTCATGTTATATAGGAATGTTAGTGTGTATATATGTGTGTGTGTGTGTGTACTCACCAAATTGTGCTTGCGGGGGTTGAGCTCTGGCTCTTTGGTCCCGCCTCTCAACTGTCAATCAACTGGTGTACAGGTTCCTGAGCCTATTGGGCTCTATCATATCTACACTTGAAACTGTGTATGGAGTCAGCCTCCACCACATCACCCCCTAATGCATTCCATTTGTCAACCACTCTGACACTGAAAAAGTCCTTTCTAATATCTCTGTGGCTCTGTGTGTGTGTGTGTGTGTGTGTGTGTGTGTGTGTGTGTGTGTGTGTGTGTGTGTGTGTGTGTGTGTGTGTGTGTGTGTGTGTGAAATATTAAACACCCGAGATAAAAACCAAAGAAATTCGATCTAAATAATTCAGTCACCAGACCCCGCGGGGAACTGCTTCACCGGAGGGCCGCGCTACACAATGCCAGATGCTTCCCATAATTACTTGTAACATGCTAGACACTGTAATGGGTTATTTTATTGCTGAATTGGGTGATTAAGTTATCCGTAGCACTACGGGTATGTGTGTCAAGATCCTGGGGCACCATTTTGGGTCAACAGCCTTGGACAAAATGCTGGAGAAAACTTCAATAATCTATTTAGCAATGGCCCAAGTACTGAATTAAAATATAATTCGATATTATATACAATGTATAATATTTTATACTAACTATATTATAAGTATAGTAGAGTCTATATAATGCCTTCTCCTGATGGGTCAAATTTTGACTTTTAGTTAGAAAAAAGGTGTTCATTTATTTTTTTTCATTTTTTTTTATTATAGGAGAGATGGATGAGATAATCACCGCCTTACACTGATACACAATAGTTTAGATCTAGAAGTAGATGGTAGAAGTAGATGGTAGAAGTAGATGGTAGATGTCCATGTATGACAGACACGACTTTACGTCTGTTGACTTTGAGACTGGGAAAACAAGGCTGTCCAAATTTCCGAAATGAACACCCGTTTATCTGAACACCTGTTCATCCGAACACCCATTTATCCGAACACCCGTTCCCCTGAAATTGCTTTCTGTCTCACAATTACTAATTCCTTACCAATTATATTTTTTGAACAACTGCAAATTATTGAAGGCGGTAAATCCAATATTTATACTCGTCTTCGTAATTACATGTTGTAATCATAGACAATTACCTGCTGCCTAGCGGTACAAGCAGGAAAAAAAATTAATTATTCACTGTCAATGTCCATATTAAATAACCAATTAGGATCCCCCTACATTGATGAGTTAGACGAAGATCTCATTTATTTCAGTGTTCCAAAAATTGGGGACTTCGCTGTTGACCAGACCACACACTAGAAGGTGAAGGGACGACGACGTTTCGACTTGAGAATGGTCCAGGACGGACCGAAACGTCGTCGTCCCTTCACCTTCTAGTGTGTGGTCTGGTCAACATACTTCAGCCGCGTTATTGTGACTCATCGCCTGCACTTGGGGGATTTCGCAATTTGTTGGTGATTCCAGAGGCTTCAGACAGGCAGAGGAAACGGGTTCACCATAGCCCGTGCTACTTGGAACTTTTTGTTCCAAGTAGCGAATCTTAAACAGCAATAACAATAGGCAGAGGAAGGTAGATAGACTATCATCTGTCTCAAGTACCCACCGTCAGATCACTGATGGCATTAGCACATGAACTGCGTACCATCAGCAGCATATGCAACGTCTGCCATATGAAATCTAACCAAATTACTATCCAAAATGTTATACCCATTTTTATTAAGCTGTTTCCTCTACACTGGTTATCTTGAGATGATTTCGGGGCTTTAGTGTCCCCGCGGCCCGGTCCTCGACCAGGCCTCCACCTCCAGGAAGCAGCCCGTGACAGCTGACTAACACCCAGGTACCTATTTTACTGCTAGGTAACAGGGGCATAGGGTGAAAGATACTCTGCCCATTGTTTCTCGCCAGCGCCTGGGATCGAACCCGGGACCACAGGATCACAAGTCCAGTGTGCTGTCCGCTCGGCCGACCGGCTCCGAGCGTCCCTAGAGATGAAGTATAAATGCTAGAAAAGATTACGAAAAGGAACCACCGATATAGCTAAATTAGGGAATAAACTGAGAGGACATAATCCCAGCATACAAAATCCCCAGAGAGGGATAAGTAGGAAGGAAAGGGGGGGGGGTAGAACCACTGGGAATTTCTCTGCTAGCGTTGTTTCACGGCCCGTAGGCCTCACACATCTGCCTCACACCTGTCATTCCCCTCTCACACACCTGTCACCCACCTCTCACACACCCGTCACCCACCTCTCACACACCCGTCACTCACCTCTCACACACCCGTCACCCACCTCTCACACACCCGTCACCCACCTCTCACACACCCGTCACCCACTTCTCACACACCCGTCACTCACCTCTCACACACCTGTCACCCACCTCTCACACATCTGCCACAACCCCCCCCCCCCACCAGTAGAACCAACATAATATTACTCATCATTGTTTCAAACGCCATTCACACCACACTCGGTTCAAACAACGGAACCGCTTAGGCCTACTCCAACCACGCCGCCTTGTTTGCTAAAGGATGTTTACAGGCCTGAGGCCACTGAGCCAAGACTCAGAAGAACCCCTACCCCCCCCCCCCCTTGGACTGGTCGGTAGAGCGACTGTCTCGCTTCTTGCAGGTCGGAGTTCGATTCCCGATGGTGTGTAAGAGGGGTGTTCGGCTCTGTTCCTCGACCCGGACCTAATAACCCATTCTCCTTGTTCATATATCCCAAGTTTTATATACGTCTTAAAATTATTAAGTATATATATATATATATATATATATATATATATATATATATATATATATATATATATATATATATATATATATATATATATATATATATATAAATTTCTCCAGTATCCTGTGCTACAGTGTTGCCATTAGTCCTACAGTATCACCATATATGTACAATATTGCCACATATATATATGTGGCAATATTGTCACACATATATGTGCAATAATGCCACACATATATGTGCAATATAACCCCCCCCCCCCTTCATATAAGGTATAACCCCTACATGTAAACTAATACCTCAGATGAAAAACATATATAGATGTAAACTATTAAAATAGATGTAAACTATTACTACACATGAAAAATATTGCCATAAATTATAACCCTAATAAAAGAAACGGTGATTTACACCATTTTTTACACTACGGTGGTTCCCATTTACATCAATTACCATACATGTAAACTATTATAATTGAATGTTATTACTATAGTTGTAAACTTACTGTAAATGTAAATTAAACCCCCTTTGGGTACGGTCATGATGGTAGGCCTGGGTGTTGGGTTTGGGGTTGGTAGTGGGTTGCTTAATAGGCCTATTAAGGGAGGGAGGCGTTATTAAGAACGGGACAATTGCTTTCTGTCCAACTGTCCCCCGGTCAGTATGTTTTAGTCCTGTATATTGTCCCGGGACTAGAGTCTACATTATGTGTATGTGTACGGATGAGTGGGATACATATCTCGGTGTGTGGTTGTGTGTACTCACCTATTTCACCTATTTGTGCTTGCAGGATCGAGCATTGACTCTTGGATCCCTCCTTTGGTCCCGCCTCTCAACTGTCAATCAACTGGTGTACAGGTTCCTGAGCCTACTGGGCTCTATCATATCTACACTTGAAACTGTGTATGGAGTCAGCCTCCACCACATTACTGTCTAATGCATTCCATTTGTCAACTACTCTGACACTGAAAAAATTATTTCTAACGTCCCTGTGGCTCATGTGGGTACTCAGTTTCCACCTGTGTCCCCTTGTTCGCGTACCACCAATTTTGAATAGTTTATCCTTATCTACCCTGTCAATTCCTCTGAGAATTTTGTAGGTAGTGATCATGTCTTCCCTTACCCTTCTGTCTTCCAGTGTCGTAAGGTGCATTTCCCGCAGCCTTTCCTCGTAACTCATGCCTCTTAGTTCTGGGACTAGTCTAGTGGCATACCTCTGAACTTTTTCCAGCTTCGTCTTGTGGTTGACAAGGTACGGGCTCCATGCTGGGGCCGCATACTCCAGGATTGGAGTATGCGGCCCACACACACGCTCACATGTGTGTGTGTGTGTGTGTGTGTGTGTGTGTGTGTGTGTGTGTGTGTGTGTGTGTGTGTGTGTGTGTGTGTGTGTGTGTGTGCGCGCGCGCGCACGCGCGTGTGTGTGTAAATGCTAACTACAACTTCTTCAAGAACTAAATGTATACATTAATAAATTAAATAATTTATATAACTGCTTTTCGTAAATACTAAAAAATAGTTTACCGTGAAATTCATTTTAATAATTTCTATTAAAAATTAAAAATTATCTGTAACAATTTTCCAGTTGCTTCCAATATATAAAAACCAAATTGCTCGTAGAAAATACACACACACATATATGTTCCACTTAAAATTATGAAATATATGTATCGTAGATACATATACTGTATATATATATATGTACATATACTATATATAAACCTGTGAATAAAAAAAAATTATATGTAGGCTAAAGCAAAATATTTTGTCTGTAAATAACGTATTTTTTCTGATTAAATCCAATATATCTCATTAATGCCACATGCCAAATGAGACACATTGTGTTTCGTGAGAAATATCTCTCTTGAGAGAAAAATCTCACAATCTTCTCTCGTGAGATGGTCTTTCTCACGAGAGAAAGATGGTATTAACCCGAGACAAAGGAACAGCAATAAGGAGTTCGAATACTTACCACCATTTGGGTTCCCGCCTTTTGAGGTCCGCCGTGCTGGTGCCGAAGACGAAGGGCGTCGCCACCACCACCAGGAGGAGGAGGCCAAGGCGATTGAAGGAGTGCCAGGCCCCCGATCTCCCTCTCCACCCAAGTTTCATGATCTCCGGCCTGTAGGAACAGCAGGAGAGCTTCCCCGAGGGCGACCGTGGAGGGTGGGCTAGTTCGGTGGTGGGCGGTGGGCTGCTGCAGGTGGGTGTGTGGGCTGACGCATGCTCTTAGGCCTATCTCAGGGCTACCCTAGCCCTGGAATAGGCTTCAGACACAGCTAGTAGGCCTTAACTAGCGTGAAGTCTGAACTGATAGCTATTCACACTTAACCACACACGTGTAAACACTGTCTACGACTATTAAAACTTCGTATTCCGTTTAACAGTAAGAACTTTCATTTAAAACTTCACCGAATATCGTCGTGTCCGTCAGATTAACACAAGTCTGTTATCATTATTCATTTGCAATAGGATAAATAACTCATTTTCACTATCAAATCTTATCTGCAATTGAACAAATGAATGCAAAATACTTCTCAATAGATTAGCGAGTGCCAGAGCCAACATTCACATGTGTCACGGCTCCATGTGTTGACAAGACGGCTTGCGGGGCATCAGCTGTGTGTCAGTCTGGCAGAAATAAACACACTACACACTGAAGAAACACTTGTGATGTGCCTTAGTGTTTAGTATTGGTGGCGGCGCTCCTCAAAGGCGCGCTACACCGCTCAGGAATGCCTAATAATGGGTAGCAGAGCGCATTCTGCGTCATATATATATATATATTTATTTCCTGACTGGCGGGATCAAAGTCATTTCCAAGAACGGTGGGAACCGTCACTTCCCGTCGCCGCCAGTGTGGAACAGGAGAAGGAAAGGGGACATGAACGGCCACTAAGTTTCCCGCTTATACAAACGCGTCAAAAAATTCACTTCACTCGCGGGATAGAGAGCTGTTCAAACCCCGCGTCCTATCCCACCTGCAGGGGTAGAGGAAGGGGCCCAGGCACGGGAGAGGAACGGAAGGGGCCCAGGCTCGGGGAGAGGCTGCGGGACAGGCAGACAGGTATACGCCAAGAACCCCCGTGAGATGATGTGAGCGTTGAGACTCCGGCCCGTGTGACGAGCCCAGCGAGGGTATAGAGAGAGAGAGAGAGGCGCTCTCTCAGCGGGTCACACATATACACCAAAGGAAGCCGACTTTTTCACTACCTATGGCCTTCCCCGGCGTTCCCCGGGGCTCCTGCCGCTGTGTGGCGACGCTCACACCACTACCCACGCCTCCTGGTGTCGACAGCCACTAGAAAACACCCGACGCACGCGAAATAGGGAGTCTAAAATCGGGCAGAAATCCAGTGGACTAGAGGCATGTAGCAACACAGGTCAAAGCGCATGCGTCGAGCGACCAGGTGTGGAGGAGACTGCTTCTCTCTCTCTCTGGCATCTCGGGCTGCTCCTCGTAGCTAACCAATTCATACTAGTCCATATCTTTGTGTCCTCCGGAGCTCGCTGACCCACTGGGGTGCCGCCTCACCCTGGCACACACACACACACCTGTTCAAGTTTCAGGTGTGCTCTAAGGTGGTGCTGGCTTCTTACTTTCCCTTTGGCGGTGTGGGAGAGGGGGGAGGGGAGGATTTATGTAATGGATAATGGTAATCCCGTAGACATTAGGGTATAGTAATCGATAATCCCATTGATATTAGGGTATAGTGATCAATCCCTTGCACTCAGTGAAATTGAAATTGAAGTAAGTTTATTGAGGTATATATATATATATATACACACATAGGGCAGCTCAAGCTACATATACATATACATATATATATATATATATATATATATATATATATATATATATATATATATATATATTATACAACAATAAACATATTACCGAACATTCTGAGTGATAAACATATACATGTCTTCCTTGAGGTTATCTTGAGATGATTTCGGGGCTTAGCGTCCCCGCGGCCCGGTCCTCGACCAGGCTTCCATTTTGTTACACCCCCCCCTCCCCTCCCCCAGGAAGCAGCCCGTAGCAGCTGTCTAACTCCCAGGTACCAATTTACTGCTAGGTGAACATGAGGGTTGAAAGAAACTCTGCTCCATTTGTTTCCGCCTCCGCCGGGGATCGAACCCTTAGGATTACGAATCCCGAGCGCTGTCCACTCAGCCGTCAGGCATCAATTCCTTAATTGGCTTTCAGGTGTTTAAACTGCACATGTGTCTGGCTCACACACCTGACTGTGTTAAATATATGTACTGATAACTGCATTGTTTTGAAAAAAGACGTAATTGTTCTGCAGGTTTGCAATAACGAGGTAACATACTATACTATTAATAAGAGATATGTTTTCATAGATGAATTGTGTTCTTGTCTGTTCAAGAACACAATTGTTGAACAGACCTTGTTTGACCTTGAACAGATTAGTTTGACCTTGTTCGAGGTCAAACTAATTTGTCCACACTCTGCTGAATGACACCCGTGACAAAGCGCTTCCGTAGAGCAAAGAACTTAATGGGTTAAGACGAATTAAGACAAGACACAGAGTTCGTGGTGGTCCATTGAAAATCCCCAGCATGAGGAGCACTATTAAGATATTGTTTATGTGCCCTAAAGACCCATTTTGGGGTATTATTGCGGCCCAATCTGCTATGGGAGTATGTGAGAAGACCTGGCTTCCATCACCCGAGCCACTGGAATAGGGGGCCCCACTTCCAATCTACCTCCAGAATGTTGCCAAAATGCTTCCTTGGGTCCTGTAGAGAGTCCTGTGGCGGGAAAAAGGTGGAGTGCCGCCTGGAGGGTCGACTTTAGGAGGTCGTACGCTCATAGGAAAACTGGTTATCTTGGGCAGACACTTAAGAGGTCGCAGCGAAATGCTTGGAACTTGACCAGAATATTAATGATATTAAAAACTTGATTCATTATGCAAGTTCATTGATTATTTTGCTTGCGTCGGACGATGCAACATTGTTCTATATATATATATATATATATATATATATATATATATATACCTCAACCACTTGACCTACCATGACCGTACAAAAGACGATGGTAGTCGAGGCTACCATCGTAGCCTCGGTCACGGTTCGTCAAGTGGTTAAGGTACCAGGTATGCCAGTTGCATAGTGCCCCCTGGCTGTCTGGGTTCGAGCCACTTCTGGGGTGTGTGTGTGTATGGAGTTTTCAGTTGCATATATGCCTGGGGACCACTCAAGTTTGTTCGCATATATATATATATATATATATATATATAATATATATTATATAATATATAATATATATTATATAATATATAATATATAATATATATATAATATATATAATATATATAATATATAATATATATTTATATTCAGGGTAATGAAAACTTGCTCATGATAGCATGACATTATTCAAGACTCGTAGACTGCATTGCAAGCATGCATGCACCCACACACACACACACACACACACACACTAAAACTTTAGTTGTGGAAGTTGCTTTAGTTGCTTTTAGTTGTGGAAACTAAAATTAATGACATGATCTCAGATGCAATCTTTCCTGAAGGGTACCAGGTGATACGAAAAGAGAGGACACAGAGACAGGGAGGGGGAGTAGCACTCCTAATAAAGCGGAAATGGAAGTTTGAAGACCTGGGAAATCGAGTTACCAATGAGTGCACAAGCTTCATACATGGAACTCTGACAGTAGATGGGAGGAAGATTGTGATCTTGGTAATCTACAATCCCCCACCAAACAGTAGAAGACCCAGGCAGGAGTATGATGACAACAACAAAGCATGTATAGATGAACTGCAGAAGGCAGCAACACTAGCCCACAGAATGAGAGCGAAGCTGCTGATCATGGGGGACCTAAATCATGGAGAGATAAATTGGGAATCAAGGAATCCCCATGGAGGGGACGAAACGTGGGGAGCAAAATTAGTAGATGTTATAGACAGGAATTTCCTGACACAACATGTGAGGGAAGACACAAGGGAAAGAGGAGGAGATGCACCGAGCCTATTAGACCTGATTTTCACCCAGAACGTAGAAGATATCGAGAATTTAGAGCATGAAATACCTCTAGGGGCCAGTGACCATTGTGTCCTAGTCTTTGACTACATGATGGAATTCAAACTTATGACCATGGGACAAGAGATCTGGGAAAGGAGAGCTGACTACAGGAAAGGGGACTATATGAGGATGAGGGACTATCTGGGTGAAGTGTAGTGGGAGGAAGAAATTAGAGGAAAAACAGTCCAAGATATGATGGACCTAGTCATACAGAAATGCCAGGAGGCCGAAGAGAGATTTATACCAACGGTAAAGGGAAAAAAATAAGAAGGAATATAATAACCCATGGTTTAATAGACAGTGTCAGGAAGCAAAAATGGCCAGCAGACGGGAGTGGAGGAAGTACAGAAGACAAAGGACAGAGGACAACAGGATCAGATGCAACAGAGCTAGGAACGATTACATTAACATAAGACGAACATCGGAAAGGGACTATGAGAACGATATTGCAATCAAAGCGAAAAAACAACCTAAGTTACTACACAGTCATATAAGAAGAAAAATGTCGGTGAACGACCAAGTGACAAGACTAAGGAAGACAGAGGGGGCATATACTGAAAGTGACAAGGAAATCTGCGAGGCACTGAATGCCAGTTTCCATGGAGTGTTCACTACCGAGCCTGAGCAGCTCCCATTGTTGGAAGGGGTACCCTAGATGAAAGACTATCAGATATAGAGGTGACAGCAGAGGAGGTAATGAAACAGTTGACAACTCTAGATGCAACTAAAGCAGTTGGACCAGACAAAGTATCACCGTGGATACTAAAAGAAGCAGCACAGGCCCTCAGCGTGCCTCTGGCAATGATCTTTAATGAGTCACTTATGTCAGGAGAATTGCCCAGTTGCTGGAAGAAGGCAAATGTCGTGCCGATCTTCAAGAAAGGAGATAGGGAGGAGGCACTTAACTACAGACCTGTATCACTGACAAGCATCCCCTGTAAAATACTGGAAAGAATAATTAGGCTACGACTGGTTGCACACCTGGAGAACATTAGGTTTGTGAACAAACATCAACATGGGTTCTGGACAGGGAAATCGTGCCTAACAAACCTTCTGGAATTCTATGATAAAATAACGAGGATAAGACAGGACAGAGATGGTTGGGCAGACTGCATATTTCTGGACTGCCAAAAAGCCTTTGATACAGTACCGCACATGAGACTGCTGTTCAAGCTCGAGAGGCAGGCGGGGGTGGGGGGAAAGGTCCTAGAATGGATAAGGAACTACCTAACAGGAAGGAGCCAAAGAGTTACGGTAAGGGGCGAGAAGTCGGACTGGCGAACAGTAACAAGTGGAGTACCACAAGGATCGGTGCTGGGACCAATTCTATTTCTTGTATATGTTAACGACATGTTTACAGGCGTAGAGTCCTACATGTCGATGTTTGCGGATGATGCAAAGTTGATGAGAAGAGTTGTGACAGATGAGGATTGCAGGATCCTCCAAGAGGACCTGAACAGATTGCAGAGATGGTCAGAGAAATGGCTACTAGAATTCAACACGAGCAAATGTAAAGTTATGGAAATGGGACTAGGAGATAGGAGACCAAAGGGACAGTACACAATGAAGGGGAACAGCCTACCTGTAACGACGCGTGAAAGAGACCTGGGGGTGGACGTAACACCTAATCTATCTCCTGAGGCACATATTAATAGGATAACGACAGCAGCGTACTCTACACTGGCAAAAGTTAGAACATCATTCAGAAACCTAAGTAAGGAGGCATTTAGGGCGCTTTACACTGCCTACGTAAGGCCAGTCTTAGAGTATGCCGCCTCATCATGGAGTCCCCATCTGAAGAAGCATATAATGAAACTAGAAAAGGTTCAGAGGTTTGCAACGAGACTCGTCCCAGAGCTACGAGGGATGGGGTATGAAGAGCGCCTGAGGGAACTGTGCCTTACGACACTAGAAAGAAGAAGGGAGAGGGGGGACATGATAGGAACGTATAAGATACTCAGAGGAATTGACAGAGTGGACATAGACGAAATGTTCACACGGAATAGTAACAGAACGAG